TTTACTACAATGAAGTTTCGTTAAAAAAGAATTGAATTTTTTACGTTAAGTAAGCAGTAAATTTTGTAATAAGATGATTTTTTTCTTTTTTTTGGACTGCAGTTGTTGAATAATAAATGTTATTTTTTGGATTTTATTGAACGTAACTCTTTTTATTCGTTAGTATAAGCTTTAAAACTTGAAAGAAAACGTTTTACAGCTTTTTTTATATAGCATTTTTTGAAATATCCGATAGATGTTAATTAAAATTTAAACCAGAAAATATCGAAAATTTTTTTTATTTATATTACACAATTTTTAGCGACAATAAAAATTTGCTACTAGAAACAAAACAGAATAGACGTTTGCTTGATTACAATCGAATTTTGTCAATAAACAATTGAATTCTACATATGCAGTAACCTAAAAAATTTGTAATTATATGATTTTTTTTCGTTTTCTCGACTGCAGTGGCTAAAAGTACAAGATATTTGCTAGATTTTATTAGACATAACACTTTTTATTTGTTAGTATAGGCTTTAAAACTTGACAGAAAACGTTTTTATGCTATTATCATACAGCACAATTTTAGAAATTTTGCAGTTTTTAACTACGATTTAATCCAGAATGTAGCAAGAATTTCTATTTGAATTTATTAATACATTTTTAGCGACATTAAAATTGTGCTATTAGAAAAAAAACAGATTACATATCAGGATTACTACAATCGAGTTTCGTTAAAAAAGAATTAAATTCTTCACGTAATGTAACAAAAAAAGTTGTAATAAAATGATTTGTTTCCTTTTTTTTGGACTGCTGTTTGTAAAATATAATTGTTATTTGCTAGATTTTATTTTACTTAGCACTTTTTATTTGTAAGTATACGCTTTAAAGGTAGACAGAGAACGTTTAATAGCTTCTGGTAAGTAGAACTTTTTAAAATTTTTACTAATTCCTAACAACGATTTAATCTAAAAAGCACCAAAAAATTTTTAAATATATTAAAATTTTCTTAGCAAAGGTAAAAATGTGCTTTTAGAATCTAAGCAGAATAGACGTTTGGATGACTACAATCGAATTTTGTAAAAAAGAAATTAAATTCTACACGGGATGTAACAAAAAAAAGTTGTAATAAAATGACATTTTCTCTATTCATCGACAGCAGTTTTCAAAAATTAAATGATATTTGCTAGATTTTAATGAATAAAACTTTTTTTAGTTGTTAGTATACGCTGCAATACTCGAAAGAAAACGTTTTATAGCTTTTGTTATATATCACTTTATTAAATATTTATAGTTTTTAACTAAGATTTAAACCAGAAAGAAGCGAAAATTTTTTTCTAATTAAATGAAAATATTTTTAGCGAAAATAAACATTTGCTACTGGAAACAAAACAGAAAAAATTTTCGGCTTACTACAATCGAGTTTCGTTGAAATAGAATTGAATTTATCACGTAAATTAACTAAAAAAAGTTGTAATAAATTGATTTTTCCCTTTTTTTGGACTGCAGTTGTTTAAATATAATTGTTATTTACTAGATTTTTTCGGACCTAATACTTTCTATTTGTTTGTATACGCTCTAAAACTTGAAAGGAATCGTTTTAAAGCATTTGTTATATAGCATTTCTTTAAAAATTTGATAGTTTATAACTACGATTTAATCCAAAAAGTAGCGAAAATTGTTCCTACAGATATTAAAAAGTCTTTAGCGACAATAAAAATATGCTTCTAGAAACAAAACAGAAAAATGTCCGGCTTGCTACAATCGAGTTTCGGTGAAAATGAATTAAATTTATCACGTAAATTAACAAAAAAAAGTTTTAATATATTGGTTTTTTCCCTTTTTTTTAATTGCAGTATGCCGAATATAAATGATGTTTGTCAAATTTTTTTAGGCTTAAAACTTTTTTTTTAAAGATACGCTTTTAAGCTTGAAAGGAAACATCAGAAAGCTTTTGTTTAATAGCTCTTTTTTAGAAATTTGATAATTTTTACTACGATTAATTCCTGAAAGTAGCGAAAATTTCTTTTTAAATATATGTAACGTTTATATCTATCTATCAGGTTGGATAGTATGGAAATAACTCGAATAACGTGTTTCTCTGTAAAACAAAGAAACGACAATTTAAGACGGTTACTTCAAATGCTCTTTCGAGGTCACTTATATTATTATATTTTTATTATTCTATTATTCTGAGTATATCTCTTTGTAACGAACTTTGGTAACTAGTCACTAATATTACTACTCTTCGTCTTATATATCCTCCTAGTGGTGCGCTAA